CCATTCACTACGGAGTTAAATTGATCAAATTCTTTTTAGTTGAAGAAACAAACTCATGGGTGAGTATATTTTTCATTTTTGGGTGAACTATACTTTTTAGGCAACGATGACACTACTTCACTGGAGAACTATCCCTTTCCCTCTCATGTTAAAAATGAGCTGTGGACAAATGGGAACTTGCTCAGGGGAGTGGAGCATCCGCTGGCCTATTTTGCAGCAGTCTTTTGCGTCAATTGAACGCAGCAGTTTTGGAAAAGTCAAAGTCAGACGCCTGGTCCTGGAATGTCAGACTTAGTCATATTAGAATCATTTCCACGTCAGTCTTACAAGTCAGAGCGGTTCGCCTTATTAAACGCTCACACACATGCTGAGAGACGACTTGAATTTCTCTACATGAAAGATCTGTTTTTCCATGTAAACGTGCCAGTTAAAGCACAATTAAAGCTGCACATTATTAGCCCCTGAGAAAAAGTAGTCAGTCAGTAAGAAATGGTAGGCTAAAAGAAGCGAGATTCTGTATTATCTAATATATACAGGACATACAATGCAATATTTACAAATGTGTCATGTGTACCACACTACGTAAACATTAAAGTGGCCTACTTGAACAGTATGTACTCTTGAAGCACACGTAGAGCACACACTCTATCACATTCAGCTGTGTGGGAGGAAACCGCGCAGAGGCCCCTGGTTCTAAGCGTTTAACTACTGGTATTACATACCCACGGCTGTTTCGCAAGAACAGCCTTACTCACCTAAGCCTTTTCAAGCCTCTTCTGCAGAACTGAAACGAAATCTATTAAAATAATCTCGGGGGTTTTATTAAACCCAGACTAACTTGGCAAAGACTCCAACTTGCAGTTAGATGTCAGTCTTAATTTGTAAGAACCGCTGCGAGTGCTTTTATTGGATTAAGACGTGGCTTTGAGATGTAAATGACACTGTTAATGGTGATTCTTAAATCTTTTTGAGGCAGAAAGAATCAAGCAGTTTTTTCTGTCAAATGCATTTAGATTTAATTTTGAGAATTTTTCCAATTTCTTCATCAACTTCTTCAATATGAGTGTATCTAACATAATAAGTGTCCTAGTGTCCTCTACAGCACATTTTCTTACATACATACATACATACATACAACATTTAATGTTTAATCAAATAATCTTGAAAATATTTAGCATAGTATATTGATTTAGCATAGTACAATGATTAAAAGTTTAACATAGTACTGTATAATGATTTCTGAAGGATCATGTAACATGAAAATTCAGTTTTGCCATCACATGAATAACTTACATTTTAAAATAGAAAAGTCCTTTTAAATTGTAATATTTTTTTCACAATATTACTGTTATACTACTGTATTTTTGACCGAATAAATGCAGCTTTGGCGAGCATAAGAAACTTACCATTTAAAAAAAATCTTATATTCATATAAAATTATGTGTAGAAATGTAATTTTAATTGCCTGTAGTTGTACTACATAGAGCTCCTATTCAAATGCAGTGCTTGCCAAGACTCAGCATGGTCAGTAAGAGTGTTGATAAATGTTAATTTGCAGGATCCAGCAGTGCTATTTTAATATCACTGAGATACTTTAATTTCAGTTGTTTTCCATTTTCATTTTAGTTAAAGTAATTTTGTTGGGTGTTTATGTCATATATATCAATTTTTATTCCAGTTTTAGTTTGTTATTTCAGTACTCAGGTATTTCAGTTCAATTAAATGCAAATGAGAAATGTTGCCTTATTGTTTATTTCAGTAAACATTTATTTTATTTCAAGTAACAAAATGTTTTTTTATTGTTTTAGTTTCAGCTATATCAATAATAATCCTGGGATGCAATAATACAATAGGCCTATATTTACATCTGAAAATTGCATTTGCAAAAGAACAAGCATTAGGTGTGCACATTTCTGTTTTATAAGGTCAATGAGTACATTAGAAGAAAGCCTGCAGGGCTGACCTGTCTTTCCAGAGCTCTGATTGTGCTGGTCCCACAGTCCCACTCTTCTTCAAGGAAACTTCAAATCTGTCCCATTTTCAGCCATCTCATTATAGACAATCATGCACCTGTGGGACAGATAATCACAATGTTTAAAATGTCTTTAGACCCACACAGAGGAAGACAGAGAGGGGGAAGAGAGCAATACAGAGTCTGCATTCACATTCTTGTCTGTTTTCTCTCTTCTCTGTCCCTGATCATTCTGGTGGCTGCAGTTCTCTGCTGTGTTCTGCAGATTACTGGAACCCAATCGGACATGTGCATGACCCAGTGATGCAAACAACTGCATTGCCAGAGTCATCATGGATGCCAAGGCAAGAGTGCAAACCACATTATGTAAATCTAAAACCAAAACATCATGATTAATTTCCATAATTATTACAATCTGGAACCTAAACATCCCATCTCAATGATAGTTCACATAAAAATGAACAGTTTGTTATAATTTACTCACCCTCATGTCATTCTAAATATTTATTACTGTGGAACACAAAAGAAGATATTTAGCAAAGTGGTCGTGCTGCACTTTTACATACAGTAAAAGTAGATGGTAATCTTCTCGGAGATTGTGCTAAACTTTCTACAGAAGAAAGAAGATAATTTGAAATGACATATAGGGGGAGTAAATGATGACATTATTTCATTCTTAGTTGAATTATCCCTTTAAGATTATGACATGTGACAAACTCACAGGAAGGATGAGTATTTGTTCACTTAACGATACCCTAGTGAGATCTCACATTCACTAAATAGGCCAGTGGCATGACAGTCTATATAAAGACTCTCATTCCAGTTACCCACCACAAATGCACCAAAAATAACCCCCAGTACTGCAGAGTTTTGACAACAGGCATACAAAAAGTTTTAACAGTACCATCACTGCGGAAGGCACTCTACGTTGCTGTGAAAACACGTTGATGCCGGTATTATCTTGAACACAATCTTTTCACATCTCTCTCCTTTGTTTGTCAAAACATTCAGTACTTGTTCTTGCTTCTCCAATTTCACTGTGCAGCAACACAAAGACGTCAGTGAAAAAATCTGATCATATAACAACCTGCAAAATTTCTGCTTTTGAAATGCACACTTAACATAACGTAATGTGGCTACTGTGTATAGACCACCAGGGCCGTATACAGATTTCCTAAAAGAATTTGCAGATTTCCTCTCAGATCTATTGGTTACTGTTGATAAAGCACTAATTGTCGGAGATTTTAACATTCACGTTGATAATACAAATGATGCATTAGGACTTGCGTTTACTGACCTAATAAACTCTTTTGGAGTCAAGCAAAACGTCACCGGGCCCCAAACTTCTAAATTATCTAAGCTAATAAATTATCTGAGTGTGTTAAAAATGTAAAAGATTGGATGACCAATAATTTTCTCCTATTAAATTCGGATAAGACAGAGTTATCATTACCCCAATTTTACAGTCTCTGTACTGGCTACCTATTAAGTATCAGTTACAAAATATTATTACTTGCCTATAAGGCCCTTAATGGGTTAGCTCCTGCGTACCTAACTAGTCTTCTACCATGCTACAATCCATCACGCTCCCTAAGGTCGCAAAACTCTGGACTTTTGGTAGTACCTAGGATAGCAAAGTCCACTAAAGGAGGTAGAGCTTTTTCGCATTTGGCTCCCAAACTCTGGAATAGCCTTTCTGATAACGTTCGGGGGTTCAGACACACTCTCTCTGTTTAAATCTAGATTAAAGACACATTTCTTTGGCCAAGCATTCAAATAATGCATCTCATAATCTTGTACTGCAGTTATATCTATATATATCTATATCTATATATATATAGTTATATCAAATGCACATTATTATTCTTTAGTTTGGGTTAAACAAATAAATTTTGCTTGGTTGGAACAGCAGCTACGCTAATTATGTTTCTATTTGTTTCTCTGTTTTTGCCACAAGCTTCAGTCTGGATCCAGAACACCAGAGAAGAGATGATGCAACCCCTCAGAGGACATCAGATGATGCCAACCCTGAAACAACTTACAGAACTACCACATTTTGCTATAAGTTTGATTGCATCATATAATAATTGCCGTTAATATTGTTCATCGTCTGTTTTATTACGTCTTTAATTGATTTTTCTGTACATTTCTGCCATATGTACATTAACTGACAGTCACCACCGATAAACTACCACTAAATATTGTAGAAACTTAATTTGCTGTAAAGTTGCTTTGCAACGATTTGTATCATGAAAAGCGCTATACAAATAAACTGAATGTACATTTGTAATTGTATTCATTTTTGTCTCATCTCTTTTCCGATTTCACATAGTCCTTCACTGGGGATGAATAACCTTCCCTGCTGGTGCCAAAGCAGCAGATGAACAGCAGCCTGGATAAACAAACAACAACAACAAAAACCCCAGCAGGTAAGACAATCTCGAATGTCAGAATCAAGAACATTTTGTCAGTAGTTTAAGTCTTACACAATCCACAGCACACCTGCTCTCCCAGGGGTACACTAAGGGTGTAAAACCATGAGAGGCCAGGCCCGAAAAACACAGTGTCTAGTTTCAAAGCTTCTTTACACTGTCTTAAATTAGGCTGGGTCTCTGGGGTTCAAAAGAGTAAAGAATTAAAACTGCCCAGATAAGAGTTTGAGTATAGGCTGCTGTTAATGCATGCACCAGTTTAGAAATGAGTCGAACCGTGTAGCTGGGAACTAACCCGTGGTCTCTCAAAATGCTGTCTAGGAAGGCAGTTTGCTAGATTTTGAGGCATCACACTTACGGTTTTAAATGTCATGTGCATTATTAGTCAAAAAAAATGCAACAACACCTTTTCACCGCCTAATGAAACGATGCTGGACAATTTCCTTTCTAAATAATGCAGAATGAAGATGTGAAACAAAGGTGAACATATTAAAATATTGATTCACAAGGATAAAATACATATTATAGAAATCGGACTCGATTTTTGCTGAATATTTCTCGGATTTGCGCGGTTGCTTTAAACACGTGACGTCATCATTCAGCGTCGGCTTGAAAGAAGCGGCTCGTGGAGTTTGCAGGCAGCTTCAGGTTGCTGAATCATTGGGATTGCTGGTGAGTCTGATATCAGAAGTTCAGAAACACGTTTATACTGAATAGTCTCACCAGCACCGGTTAGTATAGCTAATAAAAGCTCGTTAGAGGGTCGTTTAAGCGAACTCGTTTTACCTAGATTTAATCCAGCCGGCTAGACTGACAGCATTGTCATTGACGAATGTAGTGCAGAAAGTGATCGTTTTATAGATTATTAGCACAAATATTAATACTTATTTGATACTGTACCCATACTGCAGATCCCAGCGCTTCCTCTAAAATACTATAGTAACAGTTGTTAAGTTACTAATGTGGACACATAATAAACATAACATTTCCTCCACACGGTGTTTTTGCTATCTTTTAATCATTTAATTACATATGCTCTTTTTCCTTTTTCAACTGCACAACGAGGCTAATATGATCAATTTAAAACACTGAATTTGTCTAACTGGCTTCATATTAATAAGTCGAGTGTTAGCATATTTTTATTTACATGAATGGTAAACCTAAGTTTCCGGTGGTTAAAATACTATAGTAACAGTTATTGTTACTAATATAAACATAGTAAATTAATATGTGATACAAATCTTTCTGCCATTTTGTTTCACTTTATGTGCCATTTGTTGATGGTACCAGTTTTATCGTAGTAATATTAACCTTTATACTATGGTTAACGTGGTAATTTTGTGTAAAGGTAGAGAACTGCACTGATGTTTATGTTATGAATCACTCACTCTTGTGTTTCATCAGATAGGAGGATGGACTCTCTGTATGGGCCTGTCGCTTTGGGTATACTGGCAGGTGTAGGCTGTGGGCTCTGCCTCGGATGGCACCTCAGTGGGCGTTTGGGCAGATCGTCCCGCAGCATGATGGCAGCTTTAGGAAACAGCGCCGGTGCTGGCAGCGAGGCCAGTGTGATGGGTGAGAGCGGAGAGTTCAAAATGATCCTGGTGGTCCGAACCGATCTGAAGATGGGCAAAGGTAAAGTGGCAGCCCAGTGCTCCCATGCCGCTGTGTCCGCCTTCAAGCAGGTCCAGCGCAGAAACCCAGAGCTCCTGAAACAGTGGGAGTACTGCGGTCAGCCCAAAGTGGTGGTCAAGGCTCCAGATGAGGACTGTCTGCTGGAGCTGCTGTCCCACGCCAAAGAGGTCGGACTGCCGGTCAGTTTAATCCAAGATGCTGGAAGAACCCAAATTGCACCAGGGTCTCGGACGGTTCTTGGCGTGGGACCAGGACTAGCTGATCTTATTGATAAAGTGACTGGACACCTAAAATTGTATTGAATAACACTATTGGATTATGATGCGACTAAACTTATCATTTTTCTACAACTACAAAGAGTGGTGAAGATGAATTAAAAGGGTTAATGACACATTGATTTATAGGTTTAACCATTTATTTTAAGTAAACAGTGCACTCATTCCGTCACTGAACAGGAGTCAATTTTGTGTCATAAGTCTTATGCACAGGAAAATTTTATTTTGGGGAATCTCATTTCTATCATATTTCAGTCTCCCCCCTCATACCCAATGGAATAAATGACTTCTGTTTGTTTAACTTTGACGCAAAAAAAAAATCACCTCGTTCCTTTTTCAATCGCGCAGCAAAGCTTGTATAATCAATTCTGTGAACATTTAGATTTAAAACACTGGATTGATGTCAAACTGGCTTCTTAAGTATTAGATTCTGATTCTGAACATAGTTTTATTTACACGAGTGATAAAGCCACAAATTCCCACCGTAGAGCTTCATTTATGTTCTGAATGTCTGAAAGTGTCCAGTGAGTATGGAGGAGAAATTACAAAGTGTGTTGGGAAAAAAAATACATGGCACATGAAGCTATGTTTAGACCAGATTTTTCTTGACAAACAAGAAGCCTTTATTTATATGATAATCTGGGGGGAAAAAAAAAATCTCATTCTCTTTGTGCACAATCAGATCACTACAATATATGTGTATGATTAATCTCAACTCAGTGAAAACTGAGTACAGGACACACAGGGAGTTAGTTTAATCTTCGTTCTTAAACCATTTGTGATTTCACTTCTTTACAAATAAAGGGTAAACTAAGTTTAGGAATAACTGGCAGGATAAACTGGCTTTCTAGTCTCAATTCGGTGCCGTACAGTGACCTAAACATCACAACAACCAGCATACACACATACGCACACATACACACTGCAGCACAGAGAGGTAAGGTTAGTAAAACACACAGAGGTGTGGAGAGCCACATATATATTTATATATATTTGAATCATTATCCCTCCTCAAATGGATGGTCCCACACAATGAGTACGAGTTACTGCACAACAAAAGTTTGTTTTTCATATGGAAAACAAAAATTGGGAGAACCTGCATAGGTCAGGGAAAAGGTTTAAAGTTGCCATATGAATGCATGTTTATGCATTTAAAATAACTTTTTAATATTTATTTTGAGAGCTACGCACACCCCCACTGAATTACTGGTATTGACTAGTGTTTGTGGAGGCGGTAGTTTTTTTCTTTCTCCGTTTTATTTTCTTCCCTAGAATATACAATATTAAATGCTGACAGACTGAACAAGTTGTTCACACACACCAAAATGATACATTAGTTGTTTTTCCTCTGACTACGGAGTGCAAATCTGATTTTGTTTCGTCATTTTAATTAAGCTGACTTGCTTCTCCCACAAGCCTCCTCGTTGTAGACACCATTCCCCTTTTATTGACATAAAACTGACAGGAAATTAAATCTAGTAAGTATCTGGAATGTGAAAAAAATAATTCTTGATGAAATCTTTGACAATATAGAAATAAAGTCCTTCATGATGGTATAAAGAAAACAATAAACAAAAACGATCATTTTAAAAAAGTTAAAGTAAAAGAATAAACATTTGCTCAAATCCCCGGTCGTGAGCACAAAGTGGTAGAGTTGGACTTGTGGCGGATTGAGGGAGAGAGATCCATAGGGGTGCTGGACCGAACCAAGCGGCAGCTGGAAGAGGGGCGAGCGGGAAACGGGGAGGTCCTTACATGCCGTAACCGAAACCCGGCTGTGCCGGAGGAGCCTGGGGGTAGCCAGGCGCTGCTGTGTACCCATAGCCATAAGCCTGCTGCGGGGGGACAGGCACACTGGGACCTGCTGTCAGCATGAGCTGAGGCGTGCCTGAGGAATGAGATATTGGAAAAATTATTTAAAAAATGCATTTAATAGTATTCATTATATTTAAAAAAAAAACATAAATACTAGTCAATTTTCTTGGCAATTTGCTTACCATAAACAATGGGTTGAGTCTCTGTGGCCTGCTCCTCTTCTTTCCTCAAGGATTCGGAGGTCTCCAGCTTGTCCACCTAAATACATGAGAAAAATTAGTTTTCAGTCTGTATATATGATCATTGTGTTGAGGACTAAGAATGTCTCTTAAAATAATCATGGTTTTATTCTTCATTAACATTAATTCAGAAAATAGTGTAAATACAAATAGAATTGACTAATATAATTATACTAATGCTTCTATTAATGCTTATTAATTAATAATATGAATGTTAATATACAAATGTTAATCACTTTTCAAATTGACAGATATTTAAAATGCTTTTAATTCATGTTTTATATTCAAGTTAATATATGTCATATCAATGATGATTATTTGAAAATACTGCTACTACATGTAAATGCTAATGACTTTTCAAACGGACTTATTTAAAATGATTTATTTGATTAATTTTAGTCAACGTTATCTGACTTTTTAAATTAGTATTCTGATAATTGATATCTTCATTTTATACTAAACTGAAGTATGTGGATGTTAAATCACATTTCAAAGTGAAAATAAGTGTAAATTTGTGTTTAAAATGTTAGCTCAATATTTTCATGTTTTATTTTTAATATATTGATAACTAATGTCTTCATTTTTATCATTTAATTATTATAACATAATTATACTAACGTATATAATAATGTAATTTACAATGTTAATACATTTTAAAATGGAATATTTACCATTATAAAATGTTAGTCAAATTTACTCATGTTTTTTTCTAATTAATAAAATAAAGACATCAATTATCAATGTGTGTTATACTTAAGGATGCGATGATCCGATATTCATATCAGGTATCGGCTCCGATAGTGCCATTTTTCTCGGATCGTGTATCGGCCAGAGAGAGCCGATCCAAATCCGAGAATTTATTTATTTTTTTGGATTGTGCGAATTATTCTGTGTTACTTCTGAAGCCATACGATAGCTTAATGTGAGCTACATATGAATATTTAAGTTCTTACATTAAAGTTCACACACTCTTTTCTCCTCTGTGGCTGTCAGTCATTCGTTCAGCCTTTAAACCCTGGTCGCATTCGGTTACGAGGTCTCTCCAAGATCATTCTGTGTTCCCATTATACTTGATTTGTAAATACATGTCTATGATTTTGCAAAAAGGACTTTATCTTCTTGCCGGAGTTTAATGTTGTTTTGTTACTTGCTGCCGGGTGTCTGTGAGAACAAAACATGGGTGTAGAAAAGACTAGAAATTGTTTTTAACGTGCACAGTAACTGAAATTTAAAAATGGTTAAAAGAAAGGCTCAATAACTGTTGCACAGATATAATACCCTACGCATCAATTTCTCTTCCCTTTGTGCTTTGCAGTTTTTAACACGAAGCGCTTCCAATGTGCGCACATTGTAAGCGCTTCGTGCTCATAGACTGTCAACCCTCTACATTGCGAGTAAATCACTCGCATATGCGACTAAATCTTCACTCTGGGCGACTAAATTATGTCTAATATTAGCCAATGGCTAATCAATTCTCAGATTTTACTCGCCAGTGTGCGAGTTGGAGGCTGAGTATATGATTAGCACAGATATATTTTCACTCACAGAACACTGTGACTGAGCGCTTCAGAGTTTCACTCTCCGTCAAGCGATCTGTGATATTTTTCAGTTCATCTGAATGGATGCACAGTGCACCTGTGTTTGTGTATTTGGCGTAATGTGTTTCTAATGTGAAGGCGCACGACTCGCCGTCGCTTTCTCTCACTTTGAGCAAAGAGCGAGAGTCTTACATAACATGCAGAATTGATACGCTACATGTAAACGATATACTTTGTAGTTCCTTTGGAATTCTTCAGCTTTTAAGAACTGCCGGGTTTTCCTGTAGTAGGCAGAACTAATGCGCAAACGTCAATCTCATTGGCTGGTGCTCACCTATTATCGTCCCTGTTTTGATTTCAGCGAATCAGTTCGAGCAAACTCACACAACCTGATTAATATTCATGAATCCAGTAGTTCATTAATCCTTAGTGCATTTTTATATTGTTCTTATTAGTAGAATTCATTTAATAATAATAAAATCTTATCAGTGTTATTGTTCGTTTTTTTACAGGAATACTGAATGACCAAAAAAAGCACCAGCACCAGTCCTAAGTTCATGGTTACCAAGTTTTAATTCTAATTACTAAACTTCTATTATTAAATAATACTTGATTATCATATTATAATGCTTGACTGACTGGTATTAAGAGTGTAATTTCAGATATTTAAAAAGCTGTACCATTTTACAAA